TTTATCATCTGCCAGAAAGAAATCAGACAAAATCAGACATTCTTCTTATTCAGTGTATTCGTAGAAAGCAAAAATTCGGACTACAAACTCAATTTATTTAAACTGAAACAGTTTCCATTTTAGAGCTATGATTTCTACAATGTTGAAACTGTTTGAATTTGGACAGAAAATTCATAACTTAGAAACTGGGTTGGACTGAGACAGAGCAGAAAGCTAAAACTGCTTTGGGTGACCAGAATGTCAAAAAAGTGTCTGCTTTGGAGGAGTTTGGACTAAGCAGTGTTTGCTTTCAAGTGTCCAAAAAAAAGAAAAAAAGAAGAAAAATAAAAATTGCTCTTTTTTTCCTTTCTTTTTCTTTTTTTTTTTTTGTTTTTTTTTTGGTATAAATGTGGTGTAGGTTTCAAGCTAAGTATCAGATACCAACTTTACAAAGTCTTTCAGAGAGGTTCTCTGAGAGGTTTCCTTCATGCTACTGGCCTAGCACAGAAGAGAAACAGCAAGAATAGGAGTCTTTAAGAATAATTCGTTGCAAGTGTTTTTCTGTATTTATGGAAGGAGACTATTTGTATGTAAAGGAGGTAGAATACAGCCTGTATATTGGTCTGCAGTCACAGATGCTGTGCTCTGCTTTAGCAAACTGTCATATTGTCATCACGCCAACGCGGAAAATCTCATTCCCAAAACAATAGCTTTTCAAAATAGCTTTTCGTTTGAATCCCTATAAATTCTTACATCAAATGGAACCCCTGTTAAAATGAAAAATCCCAAATGAATAGTTGTCACAGTAAGAAAATCTTTACCAGTTTCTGAAACCACGTTTAACTAAAGTGGCATTGCTTGTCGAAGAAGGTGAAACTGTCACAGAAAAATGAACGATGCAGAAGGAACTGCTGATTCCCTTCTTGGCTGAGGGTTCCTGTGCAGAAAATGCAGAAGGTGTTGGACCTGAACTAACAAAGAGGTTTACAAGTAGGAGTACACCGAAATTTTGTGCTCTGTTGCTGTCTAAGAGCTTCCAGCACTAACCCTTGAGTAACAGGTATGTACTAATGAAACATTACCATAAAACAAGATTCAGTATCGTTGAACACAGTTACCATGCAAAAGAAAAAGCCTTACTTTCATGCAGTAACAGAAACATTATGCTATATTTATCCAGGATGGACAGTTAGACACATTTACCACGCCAAAAACCCCGTACTTTCATGCAGAAACGGAAATAATATACTAAGTGCATCCAGGATGCACAGGGGTCCTATTGGTTGTCACTTCCTATTTAGTGGATTGGTTAATCTTAAAAGTAAAAATGGAGCATTTCATGACAGTTTCTGTCTAAATTCAGGACTAGTTTTAGATACTTCATTGACTTGAATGGAGCTATTCTTACTTTTATTTATCTATTTGAGCACTTTGGTAAACCAGTGTCTTAATCTTTAAAGTGCTTATCATCAAAACTCAGAAGTCTTTGTACATGTGTATTTAGGTATTTGGAATATATATATATAGGAATGGGCACAGAGAAATAAAAATGTCAAGATAACAGCACTGTGTTCAACTCCCTTTGGGACTGATTTTTTTGTAGTTTTCTTTCCAACTTAAACAAAATACTGTAGTTTTTCCTCAATTTTCAATAGATTTGATTTAACCAAGTAAAGAGAAAGATCAACTTACAATGTTGAATGTTTGCCTTTCAACAGGTAGGTTGCCACTGTGAGCAATAGGGTTATAAATTGGAATTTTTCATTCCTGTAAATGCAGAATAAGAGACTCAGTTTGACCTTTCAGCCCCTCTATTTTTTAATAGTAGAATACTGTTTTGGCATTGAGCAATGACTTTACATGCCGTAGTGAACTTCTGCTTCTCCAGATGTAGACTAGCCAAAATAGTTTCTGCATCTTATGGAAAAAGGTATGAGTTTTAAGTTTTCCTGGATGGAGGAACTTAGAAAAGTACAAAGCACCAAAAAAAATGCAGATCAAGAAAGAACATTCTCCAAATGATCATTTTACTCTGGAGGGTTTGCATGATTCCATATACTGTGAGATTCATAATCATTCAGAGATAAAAATGCCAACATAAGCAACCAGCTATTTCCACATAAAAGTGTGTATTTACACAGAAGAATAGTATATTCATGGAAAACTAACATGGAAAAAACCCCTTCATTCAGCAAAAGAAACTGTATGAAGACTGGTGGCCCCTGTTGCTCTCACTGTAGCCCTCAATTCTGATGCTCTTACACAGCCCAAATAATATCCGAAGCAAAACAGTGTAGCTTAAACTGGGAGCATTTTTGCAACTCCTTTGTTGTGCAATAAATTGTGATTAGGATAATGCAGTGGATTTCAGGACCCAAAACATCCCTGAAAAGTAATTAAATAATGCAGTACCATTGCTGATATGCTTTCAGACGCTAGTAAGAAGACTGTTCTTCCACTCAAAAAAGTTATGAAAACCAAAAGTTAAAGTATAACTTTGGGGTATTGTATGGCAATAGCAGTTTTCTGATAGGAGTTTCTAAATGTTCGTAAGAAGCTATTTGTTGTCTATAATGTGCAATTTATTGTAACCTGGTTTGGGGGAAAGTTGTATCTATTTTTCTTTTTACTCCGAAGAGTTGGGGTTTTTTTAACGATTTATTTGCAAATCTGCCTCTCAGGACTTTCACAAACTGAATAATTCTCCCTCTAGATTTTTTTTATTATTATTTTTAAAGAGAAAATAAATTTCATACTAATATTCATCACTGTCCCAAATTTCAATTCTTTTTGTTCTGAAGCAAGAAAGGTAGGTTAAGCCCTTAAAGTAGTTTAGTCTCAACTCTTGTTTCTTCTCCTTATAGTATTAAAGAAAATTGTAAAAATTATATTCTGAATGTTAAAAAACAATTACTCAGTAACACATGACAGCATTTTCATGTTTGCATGAAAAAATTAGGAAAATTGTAATGTTATTTATTTGGGCCAACAGCAATATTTTAGCTAACATTTGACTATTAGATAACTAACTTTTTCAGAATAGATAAAAGTTGTCAGCTTAAATTTTCAGGGAAGAACACAAAATTAAATAAAAATAAATAAAAAAAACAAGTGTTCTTTTCTTAGCTTCAGATTAATTTTAAGTCAGGATTACTGGACTTTTTGGGAAGGAAACAGCTGCAGTCCAGGAACGGATTTGCCCTTTTCATATGCTTGTTTTAATATGTATATATTTTAAATGAGGATGCTGAAAGGCTGACATAACCTCATTGGAACTTGTTCAGATTCAACTAAAACCTGCAGTCAGGGTGATGCTGACTGAATTTTACTGCCATAGCATATTGCAGTCCTGCATAGCCAGAGAGACTGATTTTAATCTTGGATACAGAAGCTTAACATTCAACATTAAAATTATTTTCTCGAGGGGAGGTGGTCCTGCCCTCAATGTGAGTTGAAAGGTGCATTTGTCACAGATTTGACACACCCTTTTTCACATTTTACTTGTCTTCCTTTGATACCCATTTCAAGAATTATACAGTCATCAATATTTTTGGTTGAGAACTAATCAATACCTGTTTATTCAAAAAGGCAAATTAAAGCATGTTCTGTTTCAATTAATATGTACAGTTGCATTGTCACTCAGTGAGTCTTCTTCGCTTCTTTTCCAGCAGTAAAGTGAGATAATTTAGTGCACATTTTAATGCCACAATAAGAATGCAGTGAAAGTATCTGTTCACTGATACTTAGAAACCTTTGTTTGTGTGTAAAGTAAAAATACCAAATGGAAAAACATTTCCAGGAATATTTTTTTTACTGAAACATTTATGGAAGTTTTTCATTTTAAAGGGAAATTCATATTGCTAATATCCATGTTTTACAAAACTGTGATTTTTCTTCCTCTACATAATATTGATAATTGCTCTATTAATCCTAGTAACATAAAATATTAAGGGGAAATTAACAAACATTTGAAATCAGCCCCACATACCAAGCTAAATGTCCCACAGTGAACACTGTTTCAGCTTAAATGTACAAATGACCCAACACTCACATACAGTGTGGGAGATGGAACAACTGAATGCAGCTTATTATTACAGAACAGTTACTGGAGTCCACTGTGAGTTGAATGCAATTCAATGTAGTATATAAATCAAAAACATTAAAAAAAAAAGAAGGAAGAAAAGCACATGTTTCTTTCTGTAGGAAGATCTTTGAACCAGAATATTGTTTATTGTATGTTTATTAAAAAAACTAAGTTTGAGGCAATAGCACATACCCTGTCACAGTGAAAGTGTAAGTGTTTGCTTTTTCACACATGATGGTGGGATCTTTACAAGGGTGAGTGTGTTGGTTAGCACAAGAGAAAATCCCTATAGAACTTTGCCAGATGATCCTCAAGGGAAGCTGGAAACAGTGCTGGTAACAACTTCAGGAACGGCAGTACCAGTTTACATATTGTTCACTATTCTAGTGGTACTACAGAGACTGCAGTGCCGCTTAATATAATCTTGACCACTTGACCATAAGGAGCCATGCCTCTGAACTCCAATTAAATTCCAAAGAGCTCAGCCCTGCACTGTGAGAAAGGGATATTATTCAGCCTGAGGACCATCGGGGCTCATGAGTCTGCTGGTATAAACAATAGGGCAGCACAGAGCATAAATATGCTTTCATCTGACTGACGTGAGATATGTGGAAAACTGTGTTTCCAAAGACCTTGACTCTTCAACGCAGGCAACTTCCAGTGAAAAGTAAGAATGCTATTTAGTACTGAAAGAGACCTACTGGATTATCAAATCCAGTGCCTTGCCTCTGCAGGCAACCATTTCACATAATCCCTTCCATCAAGTTGCAACCAAAAAGCATTTAGAGTGTTTTCTATTACTTCAACTAGAATGTAATTTAAGAACCTTGCTGCTCTAATGGTTTGAAACCTTTAAGCCTAAGTGTATTCACAGCTCATTTATACCCATTCATTCTTCTCTCTTCCAAGGGACAAAGGATAAAAAGCTGTACATCACCATCATTCTCCCAGGTCCACGGGACCACTGATTTGCAGTTGCGTGTTTGAACTTGATCCATATCTGTGCAATTCTTCATGCAAGAGACTCAGAAACGTGGTGTGTGATGTGAGAGAGAGAGCATGAAACCTGGAGGAACATCACCTTTCTTAGTCCCTGAACAATGGCATGGATCCCATTCTGTGTGAACTGGGCACTACTGCATTCAGTAAGGACAGAGAAACCCCAGGGAACAGCTCCTTGAGCTTTTCTGAGTCAGAAAACTAAAAAGGGGAGGGAGGAAGGGGGAAGCCAAAACAGCCCTCTGAACCAGAATTAAAAATGGTGAGATCCTGCAAACATCCTAGACAGTAAAATGTAAAGCCTGGCAAACATATAACAGCAATCATTTCCATCAGCATCATTTACATAAAAAGGTGTGGGGATGCGCACCTTACACAGCTGTATGTGTGTGCATGTATAAGCAGGCATATACGTGTTGACTTATGTCCAGGCACTCATGAAAACAGAACATTCAGAAGATGCCTTAAAATTAAAACGCATCCAATCTTGTTGCTCCGTTCCGGGCTCACCCTTCTGTGGCTGAGTGGTGCAGCATACAGAGCATTCCACATTTCACGGGGAAGACAGCAAGAGAGAAAGTGTTATCAAATCTGAATTCAGTCACTCTGAGGCACTTCAGAATGGTCTTTCACGATTTATTATCTTTCATTCAATTGCGAGAGACATGATCTACTGAATAAATAAAATATTTCCCGCCTGACAGTGGAATGCTGCAAAGTTGTATCTCTCTCAAAGAAAGAAACACCCAGCGTTGTTTCATGCAGACTCTACATTTTTGTATTCTTCCATCAGTTAAAATGTAGCTTTCATTAAAAAAAAAATAAAAAAATAAAAATTAACCTCTCCTTAAACCACTGCAGTGGCAGTGCTGTAAACTAGGGCAAAATTCAGCACATCGAGTTTCATGAAAGACAGTTGGAAAAACAAGGTTGTGAAGTCATTACTAGCATCCCAGCACAAGGAAAATGATATTGTTAACTGGTCGTTATGTGTATGACCAGCTTCTGGTTTCCTTGCCAGCCCCAGTTTGCAGCATTCCATGTTCTCTCCGTAAGACAGAAGCTTAGATCAAATCTTGCAGTCACAACTCACACGAAACTCTATCGACTTCAGAGGAAATTTTGCCTGAGTGAGCACTGTGGATTTTGGCCGAAAGAAATGAAGACCTCTACCCTCAGCACAAAGCTGTGCCTATTTGTACGAGGTGACAACAGAAAGACAGCGGGAAAAAAAAAAAATTACCTGTGTGGGAGCAGAAAGCTTCAAATGCTCTTCAGTTTCTGCCTGTCATTGCACCAGCTCTTCTCCCTCTCTGCCCTGGGTTTCTTCCACCAGAAAGGAGCCCCTGCCTTAATCAAGGGGGGCTGCAGCCTGCGACGTCCCCTTGTGCCCTGTGTTGGCTGCTGCCTGCCCTCTCCTCCCGTGGCTCCTCTCCCCTCTCTCCCCGGTACCTGGGTTGTGGATAATGCTCTCGTTGGCTTGATCGCAGCCTCTCCGCTTTTAGGGACGGTCTGACTCCAGCCCCTGCTAGAGCTACTGCCTAAATGGCGACGGCAAAGCTCATCGAGGCTTTTAACTGCCACCTACTGAATAATTGTGGAATATATATTTATATATAAGGTATATATGCATACTGGCTGTAATTTTCTGTTTTTCTCCACCAATCTAGTAGATTTTTGCAATTAGTCTTCAAACGCTCCAAATATTCTGTAGTTTATCATTTAAAGCTCTAGCTCTTACACTAACCTGTGCTTGTAATTCTCCCTTTCTTTCAGCAGCGAAGCACAGACCAAGCCTGTCCCTTTAACTTTAAAAAGCTTACAAAGCCTTTGGTGAGGTTTATCCCCAGTAGGCATAAAACAGGAAAGCCCTATTCAAATCAATGGAGCTGTGCTGATTTATCTTAGCTGAGAAATTAATCCCTTAGGTCTAATATTTATTCACAAAAAAAAAAAAAAAGAGTGGAAAGAAAAATGTGCCTTAAAAATAGCTTTTGTCCAACATAGCCCCTCAGAATTTCACTCATCTGAAACAGATTAGACTTTTTTTTTTTTTTCCCTAAGAGCAGTGTAAAACAGGATTCCTGAAGTTTATGGACAAACATAAATTAAAATGTTTTATCCACCTTTAATGGTGATGATATTTTATTTTTCTCCTTTGGTGAAAAATTCATAGGCAAAACCTAACGACCCCTTCAGCCATTTATTTTTTAAAAGAACTCCTAATGCATTTTTCTCGACTAGAAGATGTCTGAAGGTGTCTGAACTCCTACTGCAGAAAGAAAGTCTAAGTACAGGATCTCCCTGTGAATACCCAGGGAAGGTGTGTGGGGATGGTACCCTCATAACCAGATAGTAGGGGTATGTAGGACTATGGTTTCTCCAAGCTTGCAACACGTAACTGAGTTGAGTTTTGACATAAAAGGGCTCTGTGCCTATCCTGAGGAGCACTGCCCTGTGGAGGACAAGTGGCACCCAGCACCCTGGGCACAGCAGCATGGAAAGTGTTCAGGTTTTAGGCTTGCTGTGGCTGACCAGTTAGCTCCCAACAGCTGATGTGATAATTTTTAAACATAACCCTTGGTGGCACTTAAAAATTGATTGGTTTGTTTTGTAAAAATGGATTTGTTTTAATTGCTTTTGTGAAAGATCCATTTATGACGCTAGTGCTTTTGCTGAACACAGAGATGAAAAGGTTTCTCCCCTAAATTTGTGGTTTACAGAGTATATGTGTATTAGTATGCATGATGACCTGGCCAATATGCCCTGAGGAAATAATTTGCACTAGTGTGTGGTTCTGCTAGAGAATAATCCTGGCTCCTGTTTCCATGGGCTCCCAGGCAGCAAGCTGTGGATCAAACCATGTGCTGCCAGCCTGCTCTTTTGCCTGACAGCAAAGCCCTGCCTTTGGTTTTGTCACCACTTCTCAGCAATTTCTTAATCCTGTGTGCTTAAAGAATTGGTTAGTCAGTATCTCAAAACCAAAAAATTACAGTAATATAATTACTGCAACACAGCATGAGTGCAGAATCCAGACCCACTTATTGAATAAGTCCACAAAGTGCTTCTGTAGTTGCAAAGAATATGTCTCAGTAATTTTCAAAGGTCAACAGATCTCAGTCCTCAGCGAGTGCGTCCTTGTTGCCAATGTGGCTTTCAATTTTCCTTAAAAACCATGGGAGCACATGAAGAATTTTAGAGTTATGACTTGCCACAAATCTTACTCACTTGGTTTACATTGCGAGTCTGAGAGAATCTAGTTCTCGAACCCTATTCCACCAGGATGGATGATCAAACTTTAGAAAAACTACCTTTTCAAACTGAATTTACTTCAGTTACAAGTATCAGTATAGCCTGTCTTCATTCTTTCCTTATCTGTCCAAAGAACAGAAATCTTTCATTTACAGGTTCCCGATTTGTACCTGCACTGACGGACAGAAATTCCACTTCTACAGCTTCCACCTGGGCTCTAGCCTGCCAAAATCACCATGACGTTTTTCCTGGGTTGCCATGCTATAATTCACTATAAAGGAGACCCGTATGGGATTTCCCTCACTATCTCTGCTGAAAACTAACATGGCAGTTCCTACTCTCAGCAGTGGTTTTGTAACACTGCTGCTCTAAATGGCATTGTTCAGACAAGACAGACTTCTAAAATCCCACGTGTGCCTCTCTCATCTTGTGATAAACACAGGTCATTCACACGTGGTCCCAATGGAGGATCCCACGGAAATGATCCCGGGTCAGTCCCACCCAGGCCAGCAAAGGCACCACAGGGTGAAGGTTTCCCTGCCCTAAGCTGCAGGGAGAATGCATTGCTCCCCACGCTGATGTATGTTAACGTGGGATGGAGTGGACAGGGTCTGTTCGCAGCGAAGGTCTTCCCTTCTCCCAGTGGCACCACAGACCTCTGCCCTGCAACTGCAGAATGTGTACCAGTAACCCTCATCTGTTACTGTGTAGAAGGGAAAGTGCAGAGGGCAAGGGCACAAAGCCCTACTAGACTATTTCTCTTACAAGCTTCCCTCACAGCGAAATATCTTAGCCAAGCCGTGTGATTATTAGGTTTCTGTGCTGCATCCATACTAGAGAGGGCATTTAAGGAACAAGAAGTTTGCTTATTTAGCAAAATATGAGCTGCCTAAAGCTTGAATGCACACTTAACACAAACCTGCATAAGCACTGGAAGTGCTTCCAAGTCAAAATTCAATCCGTGGCCCATACACAGCATGGAAAAATGAGAAAGTCTTCAGTTTGCCCATAAATGTTTAAGATGAAACAGCTGCTCACTTGTAAGGATTTTCTCTGTGCAAGGCAGAACATAGTCTTGACAAAGAAAAACCAGCAGAGAGCAGGGACTAAGCTCACTTTTGTCTTTTCTGGGATGGTTTTCCCCCGTTAACCTCTGTTTCTCTGGAATGCTTTCACTAAACCACAGTCTGGCTAAAATACATCCCTCTCCTCTTGCACATTTGGAAACTTACTGTCTTAGCTATGCAATGTTGTAAAGAAATTTAGTTCTTCCTTCCAAGTACCCTTCAAAATGGCTAATAGTTCTCATAAATTTACCATACTTTGGTATCTTCCCATTCTGTATTTACCAGTTGGATTAAAAAAGGAGGTAATGAGTTGTCTTAATCAGCAGTACATTGGACATTGCAAAAGATCTTAGCATCAGAAAGATTTACAGGAGTTTTTGTCCAATAGGAAGAAATAACTTTCTGATAAAATTATTATTATTAAGGGTGTTTCTCCAGGGCAGCTGATTGTCAGCAGTGGATCTTTTAATGCCCTGCATTTGGTCAAATAATTATATTTAAATATGACATGACAGTAGCTCCAGGACAGTTTATCTAAAGGGCTGTATTTTGTGCTTGCACATTTCATTTGAATATTAGGCAACTTTCACCATTTTGTAAATTAAGCATGAAATTGTAATAGTATTTTTAGTGCCTGCATGTTACTTTGAACCAGAAAAACTCAAAAAAAGTAGATAACTAGCAAGTTATTATTAGCACGTCTAAGTGCATCATAGCCCATTTAAAATGCACTGGAGCAGGTGACTATCTCTGGCAGAATTACATCTTATGTATAAATCCAGTGCACTTGAAACATATGTAGTATTTCAGGCAGTTAGTGGTCTACACCAAAACCATGAGATGATGAGGCCAAATTCTTCCTGGGTGTAATTGAGGTTCTCATTTATGTTGAGTGACTCCAGACTACCTCTTGATTTCAGTCAACTGGAAAGGTGGATCTTTATCCAACATGTTTTAGCAGCAAAGCCTCACCTGACCAGGAGTGTTGCTCTGTGAAATGTTGTGAAGAAAGCTCAAACTGCTGTTCTTCTGGAGGGGGGGCATCTTACGCTGTATGATTTTGAGGCCCAGGGGTACATATATGAAATATTGGGTTTGCTAGCTGCGGACTTTTAGCTCATTTTCTTGCAAGGTAACTTTGTGCTGCACACAGAAGATAAATAAATAAATAAATAAATATTGTCGTAATAAAACCCGGCCTAGCTCTTATCTTGCAATAAAATAAAGCAGCTATTTCAGCAAAATTGCAAGACATGTCGCTCCTTACAGGCTGCAGATGGAACTGGTAGCTTGGAGAAAATATTATCAGACCCCACAGTGCCATTTTCTCCTTTAGATTTCAGTGGACTTCAGCCCAGACTTTGTCATTCACACCTGCAATATGGTGGATATAGTTTCCTTGAGACACCCTTTTGACCTGCAATCTCCATTATTGACTGTATTACTCTGAATCAATATTTTCCAAGTTTTGACTTTATTCCTGATGAACAGAATGGCACAAGGAGATACTTTTGCCTTATTGTCTGTATAAGGGCCATAACTTCAGGGCTTGCTTCTGAACACTTGGGAGCAAGTGGTTTGCTGCTGATTTACAGGTAAAGAAAGACAAGGTCTAATTCTTATTGGCTTCTGGGTTGTCAGATACCATAAATGTGATTGAAGGAGATGGGCCATTGACTCTATCCTCTAATATCTTTCCAGGGTACACAGGGGAGAGTGTTATTGTGACTGAAAATTGATAGTTAACTGCATTTAACCTGATTTTCTGTGAAATGGTAAGATAGTGTAGCACTACTCAGTATTTAACATGATAATTTTAAAATAAAAATATGTTGGTGGCATTTGTAATAAACAAAAAACAGAAAACCAAAATTTCTGTGTTGTAAGCATAAAAAGAGTCATGTTCGACTCACTTTTCTTTCTGCAGATATAAGTCTCACTAAACCATGCACAAACACATGCACACGTAAACTAGTGATTCAACATCAATAAATTGCATAGAGCTGCAAATACAGGAAAAAGTTACTGTGCTTTGTTAGAAATCCATAAGCAATATTTAAAATTTAATAATATTATTTATATTATTTAATATTATTTTTCTTATTATTTAACTATATTCAATATATAATCTATATTATTAATATAGAACGTTGTTAGAATTTTGTGACACCTGTAAATTGTTAAGAACCCTTTATAGAAAAACAGAGTATTTCTCTCTTTATAAGTTAGTATAAGCACCCACCACAAAATATACTGGGTATAAATCAGTTTGTTAAGAACAGTTCTTCCATTTGCTGATCAATATTCACACTAAACCCCACAGTGTGTTTGACCCATAATCATCCAGGCATACTGAAGAAAATCTCCATGAAGGAGGAAGGCTAAGAAACTTGTGATAAACATAAATGAATTAAATTAATCAATTATTC